CTGATGCACATCCATCCTGATTCAAACACACAACCGTATTAGGAGACTTCTCAATGTAATACATCTCCCAATCTCCTGACTACTGGTACCAGTCTACATACAATGTTGTTGTTTCAGTTGCCTTTGAGTAGAGTATGACTCATAGAAACCCCATGAACAACAGATCTGAACTCTGTCCTTTCCTGTACCATCCTCATTATCTCTAACACACTTGAGCCACTTGTTGTCATCACTGTGTCTATACGTCTCATTGTGATCTTCCACTCCTCTGTAAAGGACTATTAAGTCATGTAAAGATTCATTGTCTTGAAAATCCAATGGATGCTTAGTAAGAATTGAAACCAATTCAGTAGATTTGGATTAATTTGGTATAATGTTATACATACAGTGCCCTTAAAATCATGTCATTATCAGCACAATGTGAACAGAGATAGGCAAAGCAATGAATCTCCCATTATGATACAGTTAAAAGTTATATTATTGAAGAAAATAATTTTTAATTTGTTTCAATATATTCTTTAATGGATTTTTACCTATTTCCCCGCAGTATTATTTAATTTTATTTCTTTTTTTTCCCCAGGGAATATGAATGAAGACAAAGGTACATTATCATCTTAGCAGGAACACAAAGAATAAGAAGAAAATCAGTGTTTGAATACATAGGAACAAAACTATGAGTACCTTTGTACCGAGTTATCAAACGAACGTTAATGAATATTCTCATTTCTGTTTCTTTTTAATGGATCTCATCCTTATATTTCAGGAGAAATGAAGTCACATTTTGTGAAAGGTGAGTGTCGTACTTTTAGTTAACTTACTAAGAGCAAGTTGGGAACAGAGAAGAAGATTCAGTAGTTAGAAAACCTGGACTTGGTGAACAGAAATGGAGCTGGAGTGAGGATGATTTAATTTTGTACAATGACTTACTCATTGCATACACATTTTTTAAGAGACATAAACGCAGGTTATACACATGGATTTCACCTGATGGTATGCATAGAAATCAGATTACATCTGTGGAAAGAACGGCTGGAGAAGCTCAATATCAGCTGTGAAAACTAGGCCAGGAGCTGATTGTGGAACAGACCACCAACTACTCATATGCAATTTCAAGCTGAAGGTGAGAAAAAATGAAACCAAATCCATGGCAACCAAAATATGACTTTGAGTCTATCCCACCTGAATTTCAGAACCATCTCAGGAACAGGTTTGAGGACTTGGACACTAAAGAACAAAGACCAGATGAGCTGTGGGAGGATATCAAGGGTATCATCCAAGAAGAGTGCAAACGTTCATTATAAAGACAGAGGAGGAAGAAAAGACCAAGAAGGATGTTAGAAGAAACTCTGAATATTGCACTGGAGTGAAGAGAAGCCAAAGCACAAGGAAGAATTCAAGATGCTAAAAAGCTGAACAGAAGATTTCAAAAGGCAGCGAAGGATGATAAAATAAAATATTACAGTGAAATGTGCAAGGAGCTTGAGACAGAAAATCAAAAGGGCCAAACTCATTCAACATTTCTTAAGTTCAAGGAACTGAAGAACAAATTCAAACCTCGAGTTGCTATATTCAAGGATGCTTTAGGCAGAATATTAAATGATCCAGAAATTATTAAAAGAAGATGGAAAGAATATACCGAGTCACTGTATCGAAAGGATTGGCAGAAACAGAAGATTTTAATGAAACAACATATGAGCAAGAGCCTATGATGATGAAGAAGGTCGGTCCAGCTGCTTTGAAGGAAATAGCAAAAAATAAGGCCTCAGGAAGATGGTATACCAATTGACATATTTCAGCTCACAGATGCTGCCCTGGACGTGCTCACCAACTTGTGCCAGGAAATCTGGAGAACAACCATTTGGCCAACTGACTGGAAGAGATCTATATTTGTTCGCATTCCAAAGAAGGGTGACCCAACAGAGTTGGAAACTTTAGAACAATATCACTAATTTTACATGCAAGCAAGATTCTACTGAAGATTATCCACAAGAGACTGGAACAGCACATCAGCAGAGAACTGCCAGAAGTCCAGGCTGGCTTTAGAAGGGGTGATGGTGCTATGGATATTGTAGCTAATGTCAGATGGACCTTAACTGAAAGCAGGGAGTACCAGAGGAATGTCTATCTGTGTTTTATTTATTATGCAAAGACATTTGACTGTGTGGATCATAACAAACTGTGCCTCACTCAGAGAGGAATGGGAATCCCAGAACACTTGATCGTGCTAAGGCTAAACCTATATTTGGACGAAGAGGCAGTAGTCAGCACAAAGCAAGGAAACATTGCATGGTTCAAAATTGGGAAGGATGTACGTCAATGATGTGTCTTGTCTCCGTACCTCTTCAACCTGTATGCAGAACAGATTATCTGGGAGGCTGGGCTCTATGAGGAGAGATGACACAGACACAATCCTGTTTGCTGAAACCAAGGAGGATCTGAATCGCTTGCAGTCTCCAATATGGATTGAGGCTCAATATCAAGAAGATAAAGATTCTCACCACTGGATCAATTGGCAGCATCAGGATGGATGGTAAAGAGATAGAGATTGTTCACAGCTTTGTCTGCTTGGCTCCACAGTCAACACTTTCTCTGGGTACCAGCAGCCAGGAAATGAAAAGACGTATTTCTATAGGAAAGTCTGCTGTTAGGGACCTCTCCAAAGTGCTGAAGAGCAATGATATCTCTCTGGAGACTAAGATGTGTCTGATACAAGCCATGGTCTTTGCAATCACTTGTTATCCATCAGAGAGTTGGAAAATGGGAGGATATCCACTAGGGAGGATAGAGGAGAATTGATGCCTTTGAGCTTTAGTGCTGGAGAAGAGTATTCAATGTACCATGGACTGCTAAGAAATCAAACAGATTCATCCTGGAAAGAGTTAAACAAGGCTGCTCCTTTGAGGCGAGGATTCTGAGGCTTCGTCTGACATACTTTGGTCATACCGTAAGCAGAGACCGGTCCTTGGAGAAGGACATCATTGTTGGGAGGGTGGAGGGCAGGTGCAGGAGGGGAAGACCCTCTATGAGACAGATTCATTCAGTGACTGGGATAAACGGGATGGTTGTGTCAAGACAGTGCGATTGGCACTGAACAGAGCAGAGTTTAGGGCTGTTCGATATAGGGTGGCTATGAGTCACATGCGACTTGATGGCACACAACAACAACAACAACAACAACAACAACGTGCATAACTGAGAGATCTACAGTTTTATCCTAGGTAAAGTTATAACTATGAGTGCTTTGGCATTGTCTTATAAATGTTTTTCCTGTTAGTGATTTT